ACAGACATACAGACAAACAGATATTCATCTTTGTAAGTAAGATGGGTGGAGACAAATGAGTAATGAACGCCATTGGGTAGGAGTAAGCGCCTTTTATATCGCTCATTTCCCTCGCACACTGAGGTTGCAACGTTCATTCGATTGCAATCATATGATAAACAGTTGATCACTCTCAATCACAACAATCTATTCAGGAATTTTCTGGAGATGCTTCTGGAGCCCTCTACGGACATATTGAAGGAGCTGTAAATGTGCCTGTGGACACGTTGTACGACTGGAAGTTGAACAAATGGAGATCCGCTGCTGAGATTGAAAGCGCATTGAGAAACGCTGGGCTAACTCATAGCAAACCAGTGGTGACTATTACTTACCATTTTTTGCTTGGGACCATGCATAAAGATTGATGGATCTTTTCCAGATCATCTACTGCTCCACTTCACTTCGATCATCTATGGTTTGGTGGGTACTGAGGCGGTTAAACTATGATGCTCGAGTTTACTTTGGCGGTTGGCCTGAATGGGTTGTCCGAGCTCCGGATGAACTCAAAGTTCTTGGAAAACACATTACTGAATAATGTAACCTATACCATCACAAGCGACGAAAATCGAACTCAATATACGAACCTCGATATAGGAAATGAGATGATCAGGGCAACTTTAGCGCTCTATATTTTCTTCGTTCACTGCTCCCCTTCATTCCGATTATCTATACTATAAGCTGGTTGGAAACACCTGCCACACTTTTACACATCATTTCTTATTTTGTGTATCTTTCCTGTAATTACCTGCACAACAATTCCAGTGACGGTCGTCTCGGTTAGTGAAATCAAACGGGTATTATTTAATAAACTTTTCACATTTGTTTCTCTAACTATATGGAGGGAAATACAGTGATCATGAAGAAGCTAAAGTGCATAGCATTTATATCATCGTGGTGTTGCTTTGGGATGCTTTGCTTTGGGAAACCATTCTCCCCGTGTTCGGCACAGATGGTTTGGGTAAGCGCTCGTTTGGGGTAGAAAGCAACGCAGACATCCTTCAAGCAGAGCCACGGTAAAAACGGCAAGCATGCAGTTTTACGTGCAAGTGTTCTTTCGAGAACGCGCGAGTTTTGAATACAAGATCCATAAAAACACACATGGTTTGTTTACAGGAACACAAACAATCAAACTGAACCAAGTTTGGGCTATGTCTATATAATAATTACTCCAAGCTACGTTGTGTAATAGGTTTTAGAAACTTATGGGTCCTAATACCCATTCTCGAAGGTTGGTCACTATTCACAACAAACCAAAGTTGGTTCAGAGCTCAATCGGAGATTTCATACAATTTTTGGACCTTTTGAATTTGGAGATTGAAACGCTCAAATCTATCATATAGTGAAGAGAGCAAATTGTACTCTTTCCTCTCCTTTTTTTGAACCAAATGGCATAGAGACAGCATCCAAGCAAATCTAACATATGGGAATCTCACGTAAAAAGTTGTTCTAGGGCACTATCCAAGACACTGCCGAGGCAGCTCAGATGATGTACTCGCGACTAAGATTTTTACCTCCAGGCAAGAACCCAATATCATATTAACGGATAACTTGTCTCATGCTCGCATGGTTTCGTACCTAGCCCTACCAGTTTCGCACGAAAGAATGCATGCACCATACAGGTCGTCGTTAAATACAATCAGGGGTGGTTTCGGAGCAAATATCCATTCGCAATTCCAAAGAGGCTGTCGTTTGGCAGTGTCTTGATTATGGCCACAAATTTGCTTTCCATGTGAGATGCCTATAGGTGTGCGGTGCTTGAATGCTGCTTCTGAACATACGCATTGATAAATAACGTGCTTCAATCACATGTGAAAAGATGCGTCTTTGAAATATGCGGCGACTATGCATCGCCAAATTGTTGTATACTACAGATTTGGTTGATTATTGGCCTAGGGGGACTTTACATTCTGGACAC